AGCTCTGGCCCAGCTCACACCAGGACATGAGTAATGGGTGTTCCAACAGCCTCCTCTTTACCAGCCCCAAATGTATCCTGCTGCCCTCAGAGGCATCCGATACCAGGTGACCATCTTTGTGTTCTGAGGCTGGATATGAAGAAATAAGGTTCCCCATTCTTGCATCTCTCAGTGCATGAATATAAGCAGCTCTCAGTCTGGAGCTGGCATTTCTCGTGGCACCACGGAGGTGTCTGGCAGGGAAGGATCAGTGCGCTCATTACCGCCTGTTATTTAAGCACAAGCCTGAATGCCCAGCTGGGCACCATGCGATGGAGACGCCGGATCCTTCCCCACCCACCCTGGGGACCTGGTGGCTGTCAGACTGCGGGCACCATCTCGGGGTGCGTGGGCTGCCCCTGCTCTTCCCAGCCTCCCGGAGGAGGTGTTTACAAATTCTCGACTAAACTGTGCTCGCAGTGTCAGGGTTTCCCTCAGTCTCGCACAAGAGCCTGGCTGTAAAACAAGATGCCTGTTCCAGGTTTGCCCACAGCAGCAGCCATGGACATCTCACTGGGCTGCACTGTTGCTGACAGCTCTGGCTGACCTGGGAGGATGCTCAGGCATCTCCAGCTTCAGTGCAGGTCCAAGGCCCTCCACACCAGATATCCCCATACTTACTCTGCACAGAGAATGGTTAATCTGCTGTCTGAATTTCCTACTTTTCACGTGAACCCCTCTTTTGGAGCACAACTTTGTGAAAGAGGGTCCCCACCTGCCCTGCAGGCATCTCTGATGTGCACATCTCTGATGTGCCTGGAGCCTGCGAGTGTTTGCTTTAGGTTTCCACCAAGCGATTGCATTCCCTCAGGAAATGTCAAAACCCATCAATTAATATTTCTCCAGCTCAGGCAGCAGATGTTACGCAGATGAGGCGAAAGAACTGGACGTGCCCAGGGCTCTTCGGCTTTCCCAGCTGGTTGCGACATCCCACTGCTCCATCTTCTCAGTGGTCAGACCCCAGATGGATGTAGGCTGTGCTGGGTGCTGGGGACCAGTAAGCAATGAGTAGAGCATAAGCAGTGGGATGCAGAGGGCATATGGAGTAGCTGCTGGCCTTGAACTGGTGGGGTAAATGGTTGTGCCTGTGCCCTGGGCATGGTTGTGCCCGTGCTGCCCAGTCTGCTGGGGCTGTTTTCTCAAGCAAGTTTGTTTAATTGCCTCTGGAGGTGGCAAATGAATCTGCTGTAATTCATGTGTGCTACAGCCTGAGAAGCAGCAGCTGGGGAGCTGCTGTGTCTAAGCTAAGGAGGCAGAAGAGGGCTGAGATGGGGTTGCTGCAACTTGCCTGAGAACCCCACTGAGAACCTGGTCCAGGAGACATGTCCCTGCTTTGTGCCAGTCTTGCCCTTCAGTCATGCCCGTTGTAACAGCATCCCTCTGTTCCCACCCTGCAGGTGATCAAGTACACGCTGGACCCCGTCTGGAAGCCGTTCACTGTGCCTTTGGTGTCACTGTGTGATGGAGATGTAGAGAAGCTGATAAAGGTAATGGGGGGCCCTTTGGCTTGTATCGTGGTAGTTGGCACCTGGGATCGACCATTAAATATCTATGGGTTGTTTATAAAAAAAAAAACAACAAACCACATTGAACCAGAACCACCCTCCAAAACAAAAACAAACCCCACCCTTTGGGATCTCCAACAGGAGAGGTTGGGAACTTCAGCAGGTCTCCTCACAGGAGATAGTCACTGTGTCTGAGGCTGCTTTGTGCTCCTTCTGCCCTAGGTGATGTGTTACGACTACGACAGTGATGGGGGACATGACTTCATTGGGGAGTTACAGACTTCAGTGGCCAGGATGTGTGAAGCCCAAGATTCCTTTCCGGTAAGTGCCAACGTACTGCCAGGGAAGAACGACGAAGGGGCTCCTTGGGGCTGGTGGTGAATTTTGGTACTTGCACTGAGACCCTCAACCTGTACCGAGAAGAAGCCAAGTCCAACCTCCTTTCTCCTCCCACCTGCACCTTGTGTGACCCACACCACTGTTGTAGCTAAAGCATCTGAGCCAGAGAGAGGACTGAGGCAGTCTTGGCTGAAGATGGAGCTCTGCTGAGATGTTTGAAGCAGCACTCATGTTTTGGGGGGTGCTCTGTGATTTGGAGGTCAGATGGGGAGGTGTGACATGCTGCTGAGGCTGCATCTGCAGCAGGGGCAGCCTAGTCCCCAAGAGTGCCAGTTTTGTGGCCAAAGGTGTCCCCTTCTTCTCCCCAAAGTGCTGGCCAAAAGCCTTGGCAGATGCCACCTAACCGAAAGCATGTTGTGAAAACTCCTGGATAAGCAGAATTTTTCACTGCTGTCATCACTAGGCTTACAAAACCAAGAGGAGGTCTTGGCAGAGACGCAGGGGTGTTTAAGACATGATGTGTGGTACAATGGGAGAAGTTTCCTGGCTGAGGAGACCAAGGCACAAAGGCATGAAGTGTCCTGTCCAGGACTGCACAAGCTGCTGGTGCCAGAGACAGACCTTGAGCCTTTTTTCCCATTGGATTCACAACCTACCAGCTTAGCAATAAAATCTTATTTTCTCTCCATGGGACCCTGAGAGATCTGGTTAGAAGAGACTAAAACTCACCTTGCTGCGTGGCTGTGCCGCTGTGTCCCTGTGCACAGCGTGGGTCCAGCCGGGGACGGGCTCTCTCTGCCCCTTTCCCTTGCCTGGCTTGTCACGAAAGGGTGGGCACCTCCCTTCTTCGGTAAAGCTGTTCCTCAGCTGATGCCACTCTCTGAGCGGAGCTGCCGTGGGCTCCAGGTGGAGGAAGGTGGCTCCAAAAGCAAGTGGCTGCTGGTTGCCACCACTGTGGGTGGCAACCACCCTTCTCCCCGGGGCAGCTCCTCGTGACCTGTGTCCTCCTTCCGTGTGGCCACACTGATGAGGGTAAATACAGGAACAGAGATGCTCTTGCTGTAGACCAGGGACCACGTGCTGGCATGCTTGCAGGTTGGGAGCAGCACTGTCCAGTCACAGTGTGGCCGAGATGGGGGGAAAGGCTCATTGCCATCTCCAGGGCTGGTCTGAGCCCGTCCAGAGCCACCACCAGATGGTATGAGCAGGTGTAGGGCCATCAGTGGATGGTCTGTGCAGGTTGGGGACCATCACTGAGCTGGTCTGAACAGGTCTGGTGCCATCACTGGGCTGGTCTGAGCAGGTCCAGGGCAACCACCAGGCTGGTCTGAGCAGGTCTAAGGCCATCATGGAGTGGTCTGAGCAGAATGCTGAGGGAGGGGGCACAGATTGGCCACCACCATCCCACATGGGGCCCATGTGGAAGCTACCTGCTAGCAGGTCTGGGCTGGACCGTCTGCCTGGGTTTATTCAGAGTTTGGGGATTTTGTCACTAGATCTAACAGGGATTTTAGTATTTCAAACCTTCCCATTTTTCTGCAGCTGGAAGAATGGACATGACTTTCTCTCCATGCTCCCCCTGCCCAGTCTTGCCCTCTCCTCCAGACCAACCCTCATGAAAACTTTCTTCTTTGAGAAGAGTTTTTATTCCCTTTTAGATTAGGAGAAAAAAAAAAATATTGCAGCAATTTTCAAGATTCAAGAGGCATTCTCTCTTCTCAGAGCTTTTGAGGAAAGGTGGTGACCTGCCCAGATTACTGATGTGTTTGACCCATTCCATCCTGTTTGTCCCTGTCCCATCCCATAGACCACCATAGCCTTGCTGGGGCATCTCAAGTGTTGAAGGCCAGGTTGGATGAGGCTTTGAGCAGCCTGGTCTAGTGGAAGGTGTCCCTGCTGATGGCAGGGGGGTTGGAACTGGATGAGCTTTGAGGTCCCTTCCAACCCAAACCAGTCTGTGATTCTAAGGTCTTGGCTGCCACACATCAGGTCCTGTGCACAGTGAAAGCCCCTGGAAAGGAAAAGCAGCCCCTTCCCAAGCAGGTCCTGTGCCTCCATTTCCATCATTCAATTCTAGTAGCTCACTGTGATTAATTTATGTCTCTTCAGCACCTTGAAACGCGTGGAGGGAGGGTGCCCACAGGATGTGGCCTCTGGTGGCATCTGCAGCCGCCCGGCACAGCCCAGCACCACTCTCACACCGGTGTTGGTCTCGTGTGTTACAGCTCGAGCTAGAGTGCATTAACCCCAAGAAACAGAAGAAGAAAAAGAATTACAAGAACTCTGGGATCATCATTGTCAAGTCCTGCAAAGTGAGTATGATGCTGGGATGTTTTCTTCTGCTCCTGGCTGACCTCAGGTCTTCCCAAGCTCCCCCCAACCCTTCTGCTTCCAGCGCCCTTGCGTTCCCAGGTGCAGGTCCTGGGGAACACGAATAAAAGTGTGATTTCCTTTCTGCTTGGGTTTCTCTCCACTTGGAGCATCTGATGTACTGAGTTGCTGGTGTCACTGCATGCCCAGGTGGCCACAGACCCAGGAGGAGGTGTTCAACATGGACAGCATCTGCATGAAGCCCAAGCTGTGGATGCTTACCAACTGCTTGGTTTCTCCTTAGGGGCAAGGGTTGGGTGCAGGTGGGAGAGGTCCTTCTGAGCTGAGGTGTTGGTGAAGTCCTCCCTTTGTATGGCAGCAGCACAGCGGGGAAAGCACCAACGCAGCTCTTCCCACACTGGATCTGCAGGTGGTGGCAAGGCTGGTTTGGCCATGGGGGATCTTCCATTCAGTTCACCATGATGGACACTTCCAACTCTTAAGGATCCCTGTCCAGGCCTCCCACTCCAGCTTTGGACCAATATGCAGCCCTACTTGGCCCCATGTGACTCATGAAGTGACAAAACGCTGCCATGGGAGATCCTTCCATTGCTTTGCCAGGTGGCTGAAGGTCCCCAAAGGCCCAAACTCACAGTGACCGCAGCTTGGGCATGTTCCGTGGGGTTTTTTTCTGTTGTGCCGTGGTGAAGATTGCTGAAACAGGTTTTTTCTGGTTTTTATTTCAGATAACCAGAGATTTCTCCTTCCTGGACTACATCCTGGGAGGCTGCCAGCTGATGTTTACCGTAAGGACTTCTGCTCCTCTTTTCCCAGTAATAGTTACACGTCTGTAATGGTCAGAACTGGGGAGGGAGGTTCTGTGTGAGATTTGGCACCAGCTTGGGTGGCTTTTCGTGGCAATGAGGAACTGCCCTATTTTGTTGTTAAACCACGTGGTTTGGGGGTTTTTGGAAGTCGTTACTGTGATGCTCAGGTGCATCCAGTACCACAGAGGGAGCTGGCTGAAGGTCAGACTCACACGAAGACCTTCTGACCCTTCACAAAATGTTTCTGACTTCTCTCCCCATCACAGGGTTTAACCACCCTCCAGTTTTTTATGGAAGCTCTCCTTATTTTGAAGCCAGATGAGAGGCTTTTGGCTATTAATGAGATAGTTTTCTGCATTTTTACTCGTATTTCCATCTTCTTTCAAGCCAGACCATGGCTTGTCAGGAGTCCTCGTTGAGGACATTACAACCCCGAGTGAAACTGCCGGAATGCAGAAGTGGGGTTTTCAATTTCTGCAAACTTTTCTGGTGCAGGATGCAGAGAGCTGTGGGCACTGGCAGTATTTCAGTTTGTATTTTGTTGTTTTTGTCTGAAAACATGATGGGGGGAGAGTAGGAGGAGGAGGAAGAGTTGCCATAGGAACAGGAGCGATTGGGAGAGCTTTTTGTGTGCTGAGGTCCTCGTGCTGGAGAGTGAATAGAGGAGAAAAATCATTAAGTTTGTCGGTAGCATGGAGCTCTTGTGTGATTTAGGCTTGAACGCAGAAATCTTACCCCCCATCTGGTGGTTATTGGGTTTCTCCCCTTCTCCCCTTCTCAAGGCATCTTTGGTCCAAAATCCTGGGTGGGTTTGCAATGGGTGCAACACTGCAGAAACACCTGAGCCAGGAGGAGGACACTGCCACCTGCACTCCTGTGATTTGGAAAGGCTGCTGGTGTCCTCCCTGCCAAGGGAGACGGTGGGGAGAGAAGGGCTGAAGCCACAGAGAAGAGGGACATTGTGCCTGGCTGCTTGCCTCATGCTGGAGGCAGACCAGCTCCATCCCTCCAAAATCTGTTGCCCAAGCGCTGCTCTTGGTGGCATTGCTTGCATGAGCGAGGCACGTGTCTGTCTGACTCTACTGAGCCCCGTCCCCGTGCCTCAGTTTCCCTCTTGCTGACCATGCCCTTGATGGCTCAGCAGGAGCTGGACACACAGCTGTTGGGTGTTACAGCAGAGAACTGCAGGTTGGTAAGGCTGTAAGGTTGTTTGATGAAGAAGTTGGGTTTTGATAGAACCATAGGATGGATTGGGTTGGAAGGGACCTGTGAAGATCATCAATCCAACCCACGTGCTGTGGGCAAGGATATCTTCCACTAGATCAGGTTCCTCAAAGCCTCAGTCCAACCTGACCTTGAACACTTCCAATGATGGGGCATTCGCAACTTCTCTGGACAATCTCATTGTCTCACCACCCTCATTTTACAACATTTCTCCCTTATCTCCAATCTAAACCTGTCCTCTTCCAGTTTCAAATCATGTCCCCTTGTCCTGTCAAGCCTGTTTTACCAGTCGCCCTGGCACAGGGTGATGGCACATCCTGGCCTGTGACCTCTTCTTGCCTCTGTCAGGCCAAGGTCCCTTCTGAACCACATTGCACTTCATCCTCTCCCGTTACGGATACAGAGCAAAATCCCTCGCAAATCCCTTGAGCTCAATTTAGCTGGCAGAGTTATTTTGGGGTTTGCCTATTTGCTAAGCAAACACGGCGAGCGCAGCCACGCCGCCTGCTCGCCTCTTCCCAACTCTTCCTTCCCAGTCATTTCCAATCAGGTGGCTCAGCGTCTCGCCTCTTCTGACCAGATTTGACTGAGACAGGCATTTCTACAAATGGCTTTAAATAGCAAGCCTAATTGAGGAGGAAGAAAAATGAGTGCCTTGCTGACAAAGTCCCCTGAGAGCTCAGCATATATTGGTCCCTGGGGAAGCCCGATGAAGAGCAGCTGCAGGGAAAGATCTGCTCAGGGTTTTGACTCTTTGGTCAAAGACCTTGAGATCCAAATGCTTAGGCAGCCCTGGCTGCTTTGGTGTTCATGGGGCTACTCAGTTCCTAAGCTTGGAGTCCAGGGAGAGTTCTGGGCTGGAGACAGTGGTGGTTTGCTCCAGGAGCAGACACCTTACGTGATGCTCACTGGTGGAAAATGTAGGCATAACAGTGGATGGCTTTGCCTAACCTAGTATTTAATCATCTCTTTTTAGGGAATGTAAAGAGCTCGAGTTTGTTAAAGTTTTTCAAAAGTTTGAGGTTTGGGTCTTACAGGACTCCAAGGCAATGGAGGTTCAGTGGCCAGGTTTGCAGTGGTGTCTGCTAATGGAGGATGGATCTGTGCTTCTCTCTTGTCCCCCAGGTTGGGATTGACTTCACAGCCTCCAACGGGAACCCGCGAGACCCCTCCTCTTTGCACTACATCAACCCCATGGGGACAAACGAATACTTGTCGGCGATCTGGGCTGTCGGCCAGATCATCCAGGACTATGACTCGTAAGCACCGTGCTCTTCTGCATCCACCTCTGTTTTGCAGCTGTTTCCCCGGCTTCTCAAGGGGCTGCTGGGATGCACGTGCCTTGATTTCCCATCTGCAAAGCCAGGGCTAAATAATACCTTGCTTTTGAAAAGCTCCTCACTAGAAAATTGCCATCTACGTTGGGATGCAGGAGGAGGAGAGGGCAAGGACAGGGTTTTTCCTCTCTCCTCATTGCCGCTGTTGGGAGGGAGAGTGCATTAGCAGAGGTGGAACATCCTCTCCGGGGGGCAACTGGAGAGCAGCCGCTTGGTGCTTTCTCAGTGCAAAGGCAGATGCCCTCCGCTTGCTGGTGTTTGCTGCACCACCAGGCTTCTTGGTTCCTCAGTCACCCTGAGGTGCGCAACACAGAAAAATATCATCTTAGACATCAACAGAGAAAACAAACCAGATATCTGTTGGTCTCGTCATGCTGGCTTTTGTGACCAAAATGGATAGTTTTGGGTTGTTTTTTTTTTTAATCTCCAGTGTTACACGTCTGCAAGAGGCTCAAGTGTTTGGGCAAGAGGATGCTCCTCATTCCTGTGGGTGACAAAGTGAGGCTAGACTCTCTTTTCTCTAAAGATCAAAAGCCAAAGGGGAACATCCATTCTCTCTCTGTTCAGCTCTCCTGATTTTTAAGGGCACTGTGTTGTTTTGGGAGAAGGGGAAGCTGGCACCTTTTTTAGCTGGAGCTTTCACCGTAGCTGGGCACTGGGCAGCTGGTCGCGTGGGGAGGCTGTAGCAGGAGCCATGCAAACCTGCTTCAGGTGTGTAAATACATCCATACGGTTTTCTTCTCTTTTAGAGACAAGATGTTTCCTGCTCTGGGATTCGGCGCCCAGCTTCCACCGGACTGGAAGGTGAAGTGTTGTGGCCATCTGCACGTTTGAGATGGGTTTCTTCTGATATTGCCTGGGCAGGAGTGGAGCTGCTGGGGGTTCCCAGCTGGCTCGGTCGAGGAAAAGCTGTCAGGCAGAGGGGGAATGGGTGGATGTGGGATTTCAGCTGGTGGAGAGTGAGATGTGGCAGTGTGGGTGGGTGGTGAGGCAGGGATGGGGCACAGGCAGCCCGTTCCTCCCTTCTAAGCTGGCATGAAAGCTCCCTGGCATTAATGGGCAGAGCCAGGCATTGATTCATTTCCCTGGCAGGAGGCAGGAACAGTTCTGGGCAAGGGAAATGAATGATCAATGTGTCAGACGGCAGCAATGTCTGGAAGGGCGCTGGGAGCTGGGTCTGTGATGTTGCACGGGCAGAACCTGCAAGGACTGGAGCAGAGGGGCTTTCCCAAAAGCCACCTGCATCTTTTGTTGGGATTAGGTGCCGAAGGGGTTGAAGGCACCTTGGTCCTGCAAGGGTGGGAGCTGGAGCACCCTGGTCATCAGGTGGGCAGGGGTTGGGGCTGCTCCTGCAGCCCACGCTGCCTGATGGGGAGCATCTTCTCACAGCTGAGAAGATGTGCCAGGACACCACCATCTCTCGTTACTGGCCGGGTCTTTTGGCTGCTGTTTGCTCACACCTTTAATGTGCATTTTCTTTCTGCTCACTGGTTTTGAGAAGTTCTCAGCTTCAGCCTGGGGGTGAATCTCAGTGAGCCTTCTGTGTTCTTTGGGAGGGGAACTTTGCTCTGGGCTGAGTGCAGCAGGGCACGTAAGTCATGAGTGGCCATGAATTGGGCTGGGAAGCTCATTGCTGCCAACCTTCGCGACTGGGGATGTCCTGCCCGCCTCAGATTTGCTCTTTTCTCCACTCTTCTGGCAGCCAAAATTCATGTGACTCAAATGGGAGCTCTTGCTGTTCACCAGCCACAGGAGGAGATCCCTCCGTGTGCACTTTGGAGATGATTCATTCTCCTTGGCCAGCAAATATCTCTGGTTTGTCACTTCACCACTGTCAGTGGGAAAATCTTGGTAGGCAGCTTCCAAGGACTAACAACCGACTGCCACCAGGAATTTATTGCTTGGGGAGAGGGATGGGAATGGAAAATGCAGTGGGGACGGAAAGGATATGGTGGCTCAGGCTGCTGGGAGAACGGGTGAGTCGTTACAGCGAGCGTCCCTCAGCGCCCGGGGGAAAGGCATCGCCCAGAATTATGTCTAAGCCCACATAAAGCCCAGTGGAGAGCAGCTCTCCCTCCCCAGGTGTTTGGCCCGTGCCAAAAGGTCACCAGCCTGGAGTGACCCATCGGTTGTCTCACATTAGCAGTGAGGTATCACCTGTGCATCGCCCCGCACAGCTCCAGCCTGGGGCTTCATCCCTCCCTGGCTCACCTGGCCACGGGGGCTGCGCACCCCCAGCTCAAGTCACTTGATTAAGGGTTTTTTTGTCCGTCGAGGCTCATTGCATAGTTTCAAAGCCAAAGCATTGATTCTGTGATGAGAGAAGATCTCATCAGAGTCTAGAACTTCCTCCGAAGGGGAAGAGGAGGGGAGACACTGATCGCTTCTCTCTGGCAAACTCTGGCCACCAACGAATGCCAGGAGCAGAGGGAATGGTAGGAAGATGTGGCAGGGGAGGGTGAGGTTGGCCATGAGGAAAAGGTTCTTGGGGCAGAGGGTGGTGGAGCACTGGAACAGGCTCCCCAGGGAGGTGCTCATGGCACCAAGCCTGACAAGATTCCAGCAGCATTTGGCCAAGGCCCTCAGGTACATGGTCCTATGCTGGGACAGGAGTTTGGACTCGATGATCCTTGTGGGTCCCTCCCAACGCACAATATCCTACAATTCTATGATTCATTGAAACCTGTGCCTTGTGTTACAGTGAGCAGGCAGTGGGGAGCCGCGCGGCCGGTGATGCTCCCAGGGGGACATGGCGAAGGGCAGCTGTTGTAGCCCCAGACTGGAGTGAAAATGGGGAAGATTGTTAAGAGATCAGAGCCGTATAAATGGCACTTTGTGCTCCTGTTGCCATGGCTCCCCCAACGCTTCCCCGGCGCCCGTCGGAGCGAGATGTTTTGCACACAAAAGTCTCGTTGGAAATGTCAAGGAACATCTTGCCGTGTAACAGCTCTGTACAGAGCCCCGAGCAGTTTCCTAGCAGGGAACAGGAGAGGGAAGCAGATGGGCTGCAGTTTCTGGGGGATGAGCAAAGGAAGGCGGCAGAGGAGAGGGGGATGCTCAACATCGGAGCCCCACCAGGTGACCCGCGTTTGGGAAATAATCACAAAATCATGGACTGGTTTGGGTGAGAAGGGAGCTGTCAAACTCATCCAGTCCAACCCCCCTGCAGTGAGCAGGGACAGCTTCAACCAGATCAGGTTGCTCACCCTGGCCTGGAATGTTTCCAGGGACGGGGCTTCTCCCACCTCTCTGGGCAACCTGGGCCAGGGTTTCACCACCCTCACCATAAAAAAATTATTCTTTATATCTAGTCAGATGGGGTTGGCCAAAGGAAATGTCTTTGTGCCTGCAGAGCTCAGCCAAAGGTGGTGGCTTCACCAATGTGCCACCCTGCAAAACTTTCCCTCCATTTGCCTTTTTTTTCATATGTCG